AAAAAAATGGGTCGGCGGGTTATGCAAAACGAAAAATTAACTTTGCATGGCCTTATATTTAATTTTTTTTGTTATATGCTATTTAATATGCTACTTAAATTTATGATGATTGAGTTTAGCTACATTTTGTAAAGAAGTTGCATAACAATAGCACACGAATAGGATACATGCGGTCACCGATAATATCTAACTGTATTTGTTCATTGTACTATAATGAAATTATTGACGGTAATACGTGTTCATCTCGGTACTAGATAAATTTTATTGTTATCGATTCATTTTTCATTTATTAGACAATGGCGATATATTCTGATATTTAAAAAACATAGTATACGTCACTATGGTTATATCGACACTAACAAAAGGTATTTTCATACAATTATTAATATTTAGGTACAACGTATTTTCTAGAACTAAAGAAGAGTTCTTTTTGAAAAATTTTTTGAGTACGCTTGAAGAAAAAAAAACGATCACTTGCAGAATAAGAAATTCAACTAACGGATAAAAGTATACCTCAGATTTCAATTACAAGAGATATCACAAGAATTGTGGAATATTGATTACGTATTCGAAGAGTATAAGAAATTTAAAGTTAGTAGGTTATATTAAAAAATTTTACAACATTTGGCAAAATTGTGTTTCCCGTGATAGTATTTCCTCTTTACACAGTACATCTGGGATATTATTTAGTTTTTTTTGAAAAAGACTGAAGGTAATATATGTACGATAAACATATTATAATTGTGTACCACCAAGTGAATACCAGGGATTCTAAGATTATTATTTAATCTAAATTTAGAATTCCGATTTTCTCTTGGCGGTACTCAAAATCAAAGCCTATACTTTGATGACGCTCATATATAACAAACCTGCTTTATTTCAAAAACTAATGCTTTTAATATAAGTCGCATTCCTATGTCTAATAACATCAATACCTAACATCTACATCTTATTTTGATATTAGGAAAATGGCTTATTAATTATAGCTCATCTTTTTATTCATATAGATTTCGTCTGATTTTGACCTTCGTTAGGGTTCCCAGGTTTCGTTTTTATAATTTCCGATTTTAGGTTTTTGTCTTTTTCCGGCTTTAGATTATAAAATGGCAGACTAAATTTCAAATAAATATCCTAATGTGACACGTAGAAATCGTAATAAATCAATGATACATGAAAATCCTTTAAATAAAATGAAATAAAACTTTGTACATTGTGAAATATTAATTATAAATAAATGGTTTCGCTAAACATTAACACCGAATTACTTTGTTCGAAAATTCTTATAAATGTTCAGTAGTATCTGTCATACATATGCTTTTAATTTATAATTGCAATAATTTGAAGAAATGTTTTATATCTATGCATAACTAAAACAAATCTTATATGCAGACGTTGCATTATTTTCTCTAAATATTGCATTATATTTTCTCTGAATCAAGTTTATCATAAATATAACCATTAGATAAGGTGAGAACATAAAATATCTAGTTTTCTAACATACTAAGTTTTCTAACAACTAACACATTAATTTCAGAGACAATAATGTCAACACCTCAAGATGATCAATTAAATAGTCAAGCACAAATTCAAGTAAGTGATCAAACTCAAGAAAATAGTCAGAGATAATCAAATTCAGGAAAATAATCGAATTCAAGAAGGTAATCAAGGGGACAATCAAATTAAAGAAGATAATCAAGTTCAAGAAGGTAATCAAGCTCAAGTAGATAATCAAGTTCAAGGAAATAAATGAATTCAAGAAGATAATCAAGCTCAAGAAGATAATCAAACTCAAGAAAGTAATCAAGCTCAAGAAGATAATCAAACTCAAGAAAGTAATCAAGCTCAAGGAAGTAATCGAGCTCAAGGAATCAATCAAGCTCAAGGAAACAATCAAGTTCAAGGAAGCAATCAAGCTCAAGGAAGCAATCAAGCTCAAGGAAACAATCAAGTTCAAGGAAGCAATCAAGCTCAAGGAAGTAATCAAGCTCAAGGAAGTAATCAAGCTCAAGGAAGTAATCAAGCTCAAGGAAGCAATCAAGCTCAAGGAAGCAATCAAGCTCAAGGAAGTAATCAAGCTCAAGATAGTAATCAAGCTCATGGAGACGATCAAGCTCAAGGAGATGTTCAACGACTACCTAAGTATTTGGAAAAAATTAAGAACACTTTGAATCCAACACAGGAGAATATCTTTAATAATTTTAATAGCATAGGAGTGAAAATGATTTTTTTGGAAACAATTTATGAACAACGACTAAAAGAGGTATTTTTTTCTTAGAATATGCGATATCATATACCGCATATTCACCATCAGGATTTACTAAATTTTTATTTTTCAAAATAGGCGAATAAAATTAATTTACTTGTCGCTACAGTTAGTATGCTCGTTACCCTCGTTATAAATGTTTCAGTTATCGCCCTTAAAAATGAGGACAATACAATAATCTTACTTTTAAATGGCATCGTCTTCACTATGCAAATTTTTACTGTAATGATAACAGTAGCAAGTGAACCATATTTACAAAACAGAAATTATTTACATTTATTCTATATTTTCATTCCAATAGTCATAAGTGTAGCGTTAGCAATAAGTTTAGGAATTTCTTTTCACTCACCACTCATAACAGCCACTTGGGTACCAGTTGGCGTATTATTTTCTAATGTTATTCTTCAACATGCTAAATCGATCAAAGGATAAATTATCGATGTCACAACCTTTTATGTATTTATAGCAAACAGATGAATAATTTTACTTGCATGACTCAATGTCAAAGACCAGGCAGTTTTAGAATGCAAGCAATAGTTTCTTAGCGAAATTTCAATTTTCATGTTTTTTTTTTTTTTTAAAAAAAAAAAAAATTACAAACAATTTCTTTGCGTACATGTAATCATGCAATCTTTGGTTAACCTAATTAATGAAATGGATCGGATGTGAAATAGTAAATAACAGTAAATTCTAAATGCAAAGTCGAACGTTTGAGGTAATGAAAAAAATTTTACTTATTAGCAAAGAAAAAAACTGTTGAATAAGATAATGTCAAAAAGTCCGTGATATCAATGCGATAAACGAATCGATAAATTTTTGCTGATATCGGTAATTTGTTAATTACGGGTCGGCCATTTATCGATTTGATCATTAGAAAATATTTTAGCTATCCCAGATTTATAAAACGGTTGTAAATATTTATTATTATAATTTTTGATTGATCGATATGTTTCTTATACAAAATTCGTTTAAAGAAATCAAATAGTTAAGAATGTTCAAATGTAGACTTAATTTAATTGATCGAACTGTGGTTATATGGATGGTCCTGTAGCGGTCCATGAACTGAATTTTATCCAATCCCTGTAAAGCTGAATCTGCAAGTGATACAGACCCAAAAAGGGAAAGGAAAAGTTGTTGATTTACACCGAGTTTAGAGTCACTTGCTTTTGTGGAATTGAAATACTATTGCTTGTTAATACTGTAATAGTTAAATTATGTGTTCATATTTAATCATCTGATTGGATCTTCTAAATCAATATTGCTAAAGAAGGAAATAAGGCTATTTCACAATTATTTGAGTTACCGGCTCTCATGCTAAAAATTTCTTTTTTGGAAGATAGAGATTGGAATCTAGATTTTCGAGCATCGGACCGAATAATTGAATGTTCATCGAGTTTTTTTAAAATATCAAGAGTATATTACATCATTTATCAATTGTATTACAAAGTTATTTAATAATATACAATTTTTACATGAACTTATAATTCAATGATTTACATTTATAAAAACAACAATATATTAATCCTAAGTATAATAGGAATAACACCAAATAACTTTGGATTCAATAGTGTTCTCTTCGCACTTATAACATTTTCTATGTCCAAAAATGAGTGTATTTGTCGTAGGAATTATAAGAGTTTTTCAGAACAATACAAGTTTTTAATTACAGTAAAACTCGGAAAATAAGCACCACACCCTCTACTCTAATTTTTTCAATCTTAAAGTGACGCGAATATCTTATGAAAGAGTTTATTGCTATATCCGATAATCTGAGATTGAAATAAGTAAGGTAAAGATGTGGTACTTATTTTCCAAGTTTTATGGTGTGTCAATTTATTAAGTCAATATTTATGAAATTATTCCTTAAGTAAAGTAAAAAAAATTATCATTATCAAGACACAGTTAATAAATTTAACTTTGATGCTCGATAATTGATCGAATTACAGTAAAAACTCAATAAATGAAGGCTTATTTCAGTGCGCAAAATTTTGCATACCGAAAATGTGTACAAGGTTGGCGGCGCAGACAAAATTCTTAAAATTCGGTAAGGTTAGGATTAGGGTCAGGGTTAGGATCTTGAGAAAAGTATTTCTTATAGTAAAATTGTCCAACGAAACCTTTTTGTTAGAGCACAAAAGGTGGTTTATTATGTTGATTTTTGAGCTATGAGCGATTTTTGGCAGAACGAACGTTTGTTTCGAACCTTTTTTTTGGTGGCGATTTTACCCCAGTCTATTTTACCTATGTAAATAAATCTAATCTTAACCTAATCCTAACATAAAGTTGCCCTAACCATAAAATGGGGAAGCCCACAGCAAAAGGATGCTAAGGATGCTTCGGGATGATCACATGATCGTGAAAAATCATCAAAATTGATATATAATTATCATCTATATAATAGTATTAAAATAATTAAGCGAAATTATATATATTTTTTTATTAATAGATTTAACAATTTAAAGATGTTTTTATAAAAACATTTATTTGTTAGTTAGCTATTCTATAAAATCTCAAAATTTGATTGGTTGGCCCGAAGCATCCTTTTGCTACGGGCTCCCCCAAATGCTAAATTATATAATTACATCCTTAAATAGAGGGTGGTTCGATCATTAATCAAAATTTTGGCATACCGAAAATGTGTACAAGGTTGGCGGCGGGTACATCTATGTACCCCCCGCCCGATTTGGAAATTATGCTTTTTATCCAATCAGCGTCTATTACGTCGAATTTACATGAACGATCAGTGTGTAACG